CATCTATGCTCCCTGTTGAGTTAATATGATTAGACTCATAAATTCTATTTTTGAAATGTAGACTCTGTACCCTGAATATAAAAAAAAAAAAGAAAAAAAAAATGAAAGGATACACGCACCCCAGTATTCACTGCCGCACTATTTACAACAGGCAAGACATGGAAGCAGCCTAAATGTCCACTGACGGATATATGTGATACACCTATATGATGGAAGATGATTCGGTCATTAAAAAGAATGAACCAATGCCATTTGCAGTCAGACAGGGAAAGAAAAATCTCATATGATATTGCTTACACATGGAATCTAAAAAAAAAAAAAAATGGTACAAATAAACTGATTCACAAAACAGAACCGACTCACAGACTTAAGAGAATGAACTTACGTTTACCAGGGGGAAAGGGTGGGAGAGGGACAGACCGACTGGGAGGTAGGGATGGACATGCACACACATTTATATTTAAAGCAGATAACTGACAAGGGAACTGTTCAGTATTCTACAGCAACCTAAATGGGAAAAGCATTTGAAAAACAACAGACACATGTACGTGCATACCGAGTCACTCTGCTGTATATGTGAAACTAACGCATTATTGTTAATCAACTATACTCCGATATAAAATTTAAAAAAAGCAAGGCCCCCAGGTCAGCAGGAAGACATACAAACAGTAATGCACACAAGAAAAAAAGACAAATGTGCAGATAATAACACACAAAGAAGTTCAACTCTGCCAGTCACCAAGGAAATGCAGGTCAACAATGAAACAGATTTGCCTGTCAAGTCGCAGATTTAAAGAAAAGTTTTTTTTTTAATTTATTTATTTGGCTGCCTGGGGTCTTTGTTGCAGCATGCAGGGTCTTTGATCACTGGGCATGGACGCTCCAGTTGTGGTGCACAGGTTTAGTTGCTCTGAGGCAGGTGGCACTCAGTCTCCCGACCAGGGATCTAACCCGCATCCCCCCGCATTGCAAGGCAGTTTCTTAACCCCTGGACCACCAAGGGGAGCCCCAAGTCTTTTCCAAAAGACGGCTTGGCAATCCCACATCCAGACTGTCCTCCTAAGAAAATGAATGAGAGGAGGAGTTTCACCACGTATGCCTGCTTCGGTATTACTTCCCACTGGGCAAGATTGGGAACACACCCCTACAAGTCCACAGTGTTCCCACTGGGTGGCCGGATCTTAAGAGTGCGGGCACCACAGGTGTACAAGGAAAAAAACGCTGTTTACATCAAGTATATAAAGTATGAGGGGACACACTGCTCTCTCTGGATGTGGTCCTGAGGACAACTATCACTATCATCCTTCTGCCTTCCAGAACTTGCATATGTTTTTATACCTTATGTATTTAAATTTTGGGGAGCCACACAGCTTGACAGGTGCGATCTTAACTCTTCAACTGGAGTTAAGGATCAAACCTATTCCCACCTGCAGTGGAAGGTGAGAGTCTTAACCCTTGGGCTGCCAGGGAAGTCCCTCTGTTTTTAATAAAAATGTTCTAATATTAGTAACACAGATTTTTTTTTCTTTAGAAGAAAGAAATGTTACTAAAGACTATAGAACAGCCTAGGGAACTGTACCCCCAGATAAGTATAAATCCTGGCTCTTGGAAACAAACCTCAAGCTTATGAAATAATGGGCCACGTCTGAACTCTGGGAAACTGTGTGGGAAAAGATACTAAAATACAGTTTTAGGGCTTCCCTGGTAACTCAGACAGTAAGGAATCTGCATGCAATGTGGGAGACCTGGGTTTGGTCCCTGGGTCGGGAAGATCCCCTGGAGAAGGGAATGGCAACCCACTCCAATATTCTTGCCTGGAGAATACACTGCACAGAGGAACCTGGCAGGCTACAGTCCATGGGGTCACGAAGAGTCAGACACCACTGAGCGACTAACACTTTCACCTTCAGAATAGCATTAGCAGCTCTGTAAATTAAGAGAAAACCATCTGCTTTCAGTGTCTCCCTTCTAGCACAATGCAGGTGACCCCAAATTTTGAAAATACCGTATCTCAGAATATTGTCTGATTGTTACTCAGCTGAACCGTATTTAGAAACAGGTTATTTACTCAAGAGGGTTCGGATATTTACTGTACATGAAAATTTTACTTTATTCCTATATGTCTATAAATCATATGCATTTATGTGTGCATGAGCACACATACATGTACTTAAATGCTTCTGTGAATACATATATAACATGCATGCGTAGACATATATATGCAGGTGTGTCTGTATGTATACGTGTTAAAAACTTTCCTTGAATCTCCAGTTATTCTACTTAAAAAAAAACTGGACACTTTGTCATTATTATTATTTTTATTATTATTCTGGCTGAGTCACATGGCATGTGAAACCTCAGTTGCCCAAACCAGGGACTGAACCCTCACCTCGTGCCTTGGAAGACAAAGTCTTAACCACTGGACAACCAGGGAAGCCCCACTGTTATTTTATTTTGAATGGCCTCCAAATGTGTTCAAGAGCCCATTGGCTGGGCTTCGTAACAGACATGTATGTAAAGCATTTGCTAGCAGCTCACTTGATCACAGAACACGTAAGCAGGTCTATCTGGCAAGCATACTTCCAATGCATCAAACACCTCTTGCAGACAGAAAAGCCAAGTCTGCTGACAAGAGCCCATTTTCTCTATAAACAGATCTCAAAGATACTACACACAAGTGTGTGTGTTTGTGTGTGTGAGATACACGTCTTCACTCACATGAATATTGGTAGCAAATGACCACAACAAGACAACCCACGAATCTGGATGTATTACGGAAGGGGAATTTAGCACACAGGCTGTGCTGGCTTGCAGGACCTTTCATCACCCAGCGTGCCAGGAGCCAGCAGGAACTCCCACCCAGACAAACGTCCAGCCACATGGCACTCGAGGACTCCCCATTAAGAAGCCGTGTGCATCCACACTGCTGTATTTGCAGCGGATGACCAACAAGGACCCGCTGGACAGCACAGAGAACTCTGCTCAGGGTCATGTGGCAGCCTGGATGGGAGCGGGGTTAGTTAGGGGGGGAGAATGGATACAGGTATATGGATGGCTGAGCCCCTTTGCTGTCCATCTGAAACCGTCACAGCATCGTTAATCAGCTATACTCCAGTACAAAATAAAAAGTCAAACACACACACACAGACACACACACGTTGTGTGAATCCACTCTCCTGAGCCCCCATTTGCATCCTGTAAAGTGAACATGTACTCCATACTGTGAGGTCCAAGACAGACCGGTGAGAAGCCTTTGTGAACCTCTAAGGAATGAATCCTGAGGATTCTCAGAGTCTTTAAAGGTGAAAAACTTCCTAACTTCAGGCTCTCTTCAGACATCAGGGATGTCTACAGTACAGGCCCTCCCAGAAATGACTTGTCTGTTGAACCTACTGGAAGGAAAGTCAGAAAACATGACTGGCCACAGACCAGGGAGAGACAGGCTCGTCCTGCTGGACACAAAATGCCAGCATCTTTGTTTCCAGTGCTTCCCCACCTACCCCTTGCTACATTTCCACGCGTATAAGAGGTGGAGGATTCAAGGCACTGCAGCGTAAAGCAAATGCATGCCGAGGGCCACACGGAATATTAGCTTCCCCAACCTGCAAAACCCCAATGCAGCTAGAAGACCGTTCAGTTTATGCCAAAACACCCGCCCGTCAGTATACATTTACAGGGTCACATGTCACCCCAGCTGGGCAGGACAAGCCTTATCCAACCTGTATGGTCAACACCCACATGGATGGTCATTTCTAACACTCCTTTTCAAAAAAAAAAAAAAATTATTATTTTTAATTGGAGGATACTTGCTCTACATTGAATACAGAACTCATACAGAAACATTGCATTAGTTTCTGCTGGACAACTATGCGAATCAGCCATCTGTATACATATATCCCCTCCCTCACTTCCCCCATCCCACCCCTGTAGGTCATCACAGAACACGGAGCAGAGCTCGTTGTGTTATACGGTAGCGATTTTACCCATGGTACGGTATATATGCTAATACTCCTCTAATAAATGGCTTTTCTGTGTTTTGTCCATGCATTCACGAATGACAACATCCCTGCAAATATTTTTCCGTAAGGGGTATATGTTTGTTGGGTTCGTGTGTGTGTACGTGAGAAAGACGGAAAGGATGAAATGTCTCTCCACTATGCTTGACAGAAACAAGCAGAGAGACGTCTGGAAAATACGCTTCTGCAATGTAATGATAAAAAATACATATATTTCTAATATACACCCTCCAAGATTCTGGCTCCCAAGGGAAAAGAAACTATGTCTATACCATTCATCACAACTCGACCCTATCTTTCATTTATTTTATGACACGGTAACATACTATAATTGTGTAGGTCTTTAGACAATGTATACGACAGCAGGTTGTTATGAATGCTGCCAGGTAGCTTTCTGAAAACCTTCCTCCAAACCCCTTTCCCTCTTGACAGTTCACCTAAGCATGACCACCACACTTCAGGTGTGATCCATTTTCAAGAAGACTCCCAGCCAGGGAAGTCAGTCCCCGCAGACCCAGACTGCGGCAGTTTTTCTGTGAAAACGGCATCTTCCCGCCACACACACCAAAGTGTGCTTTAGCAAAGCAAAACCGTTTCAGTCACTTAGAAACATGGCCAAAATTAGTAACACGTTTTATTTAGCACAATAAAAAAGACAAAAAAACAACAACAAAAAATACCCCAATCCCACAGCATATATGCAGCAAAAACCCGGAAAGACTGCATGTCTCTCGATGGGCACAATCGAAAAAGAGCACAAATCCAATCATTGCAAAATGCTCACAACCAACCTCCAGCACTTTTCTCTATTTACATTTTATTTTTTTCATTGCAATCAGCAAGCTAAGAGCGAATTCACCCACCAAGCATTTTTTTTCATGACTCAACATGCACACCTGATTTCCCTGCCACCACCGCTCTGCTGCGGCTGACTCACCATTTCCTTTCTCCATCCATATTCAAAGCCTCCTGTTGTGAAAATGCTTATTTCTTACTGTTATGGAAAAAGGAAAAAGGGCACAGCTAGCAAGCTTCTCCAAGCAGGGCTGGCGCCCTCCCGCCAGCCTCCTGGGGGGCCCGGGGGGCCCGGGGGACCCTTGGGCAAAGGAAACAGGTCTGCAGTTCCCACTGAGGCGCGGGCCTCCCCGCACCCAGGGCTCCCAGTCACCCCGGCTCGCCGCCCGCAGCACAGTCCCAAGCGCCCAAGAGCACACGTGTCTAGCAGCGCGCACACAGACACACACAGCAAAGGCTCGCGTGCCTGCACACCCTCGTGCCCGCGCGCAGACTGAGCTCCAGTGGACTCTGCAGCCCCTGTCTGCACGATTTAACCATCAGGCAGAACAATATGCAGGGAGCCCGTCTGCCAGTCTCCCCCAGATCCACCCCTCCACCCCCAACCCGCCCCCACCCCTCTGGCCCCGACCCCCGGAGCCAGCAACCTACTCTTCAAGGCAGGAGAACAAAAGGGGCCCGAGCAGCTTGCAAGCCCGGAGGGCAGCCTTGCCCTGCAGATGCCCGGAGATGGCGGGTGGTGGGGGGGGGGGGGGTACCTGGCTCGCTTACCCGTGCTCCCCGACTGCTGCGAGTGCGCTGCGCCCGCTGCCGCCTAGCGATGGACAAGTCCACGCAGGCTCCCTCCGACTGCAACCCGCGGCTCCCCGGTGACTTTGCTGGCAAATCCCGAGGCCAAACCCCCAAAGCCTGGCCCTCCGGGAGCCTGTCTTCCTCTTTTTATCACTTCAAAGTCATAGGAAACACAGAAGAAAAAAAAAAAAAAGCCTGCCTGTTATGCAACTCTGGCCACTCCACTGTGCTGCCTTATATGCTCTAACTTGTGCCCATTCAATCTCACAACCTCAAGGTCAGACGGAACAATGCAGCTGGAAAAAAAAAACCCCAAAGCCAACATTCAATAGCCCACTTCGCATCTATCTGTGTTTCGGGGGTTTATTACACAGTTGGTAGGAATGCGATCCGAACAACTAACAGAGTGTCTCCGGAAGTTTCACTGCCTAGAAGGCATTGTGTGCAGACCACCAAGGGGTCGCAGGCTGACCCCGACTTGCCCAACCCGACCCTTCACAATGATGTGTATTTAAAGTCCCTGCACCCCCTTCTCCCCAGGCAGCCTGAGACCTCGGGTGCTCAGCCCCACACCCTCAAACACACAGGAAGTGTCCCCCACCAGGGTCCCTAACAGCCCCTTCCCACACAGACTGCCTTCACCCTCTCTAGCCCAGCACTTACCCTTCAGGTCCAAGGTTCACCACGGGCTTCAACCGCTTCAAAATGCACCCCAAGTAACTTTGGACTCTCTCGCTCATTGAAACAAACCACCCACGCCACTCTGCAAGATCCTCTGAAATAAGGCTACTTTCGGCTTCCCCGGTGGTTCAGACAGTAAAGAATCCACCTGGAGTTCAACCCCTGGGTTGGAAACATCCCCCCAGAGAAGGGAATGGCAACCCACTGCAGTGTTCTTGCCTGGGGAAATTCCATGGACAGAGGAGCCTGGTGGGCTGGAGTGCACAGGGCCGTAACAAGTCAGACACAACTGAGAGACTAACACACACGTATGGCTATTTTACTAAAAGTGACTTCTATTTTTTTTGGGGGGGGAGGGCACCTGCTTGATCTTCAGTGCTGTGCCGCTCCATTTCTGTTACAGACATTAAACTTTTACATAAATCTGCAAGGAAGGTCGCTGCTATGTTTATCTCCCAGGCCAGAATACTAGTGAGTGAAAGTCACTCAGTAGTGTCCGACCCTGCAACCCCATGGAGTATAAAGTCCATGGGATTCTCCAGGCCAGAATACTGGAGTAGGTAGCCTTTCCCTTCTCCAGGAGATTCTCCCAACCCAGGGATCGAACCAGCGTCTCCTGCATTGCAGGTGGATTCTTTACCAGCTGAGCCACAAGGGAAGCCAAATAATGCATTAAGTAAGTATGCTATTTACCCCCATTAAATTTTAATAAAGTAGAATTAACCCACTGAAATAATGTCATAATGTCACAGTAAGCTGGGAATTGCTGAGGCAAGCCACAGATATCAGGAAGCAAACTAAAGACAGGTGAGCATGAAAGAATTCTGATGGTGATAAGGCAACCAAGTATGTTAAGTAAGCCTATGCAGATGCTGAATATAAAAGTTAATAACTGGGAACCCTGGGGTTTTCACGTTGCTGTTTAGTCACTAAGTCAGTTCTGACTCTTGTGACCCCTTGGACTGTAGTCCACCAGGCTCCTCTGTCCATGGGGTTTCCCAGGCAGGCCTACTGGAATGGGTTGCCATTTCCTTCTCCAGGGGATCTTCCTGACCCAGGGATTGAACCTGGGCTTCCTGCATTGGCAGTTGGATCTTTACGGACTGTGTCACTAGGGAAGCCATGTTCCGGGGAAGACTAGTTATTAGCAAGCTTAGCTGGCCTGATGCAACCACACGGAAAAGAAGAGTGAGGATCTGAACCTGTTTTCCACCCCCAAAGCCCACATTCTTCACACTTGTTTTTTTTTTTTTTTAGTAATTTTGCTTATTTATTTTTGGTGGTGCTGTGTCTTCATTGCTGCAGACTTTCTCTAGCTGCGGAGACTGGGGGCTACTCTCTAGTTGTGGGGTGTGGCCTTCTCGTTGGGGTGACTTCTCTTGTTACAGAGCATGGGTTCTAGGGCACATGAATTTCAGCACTTGCAGCTCCTGGGTTCTAGAGGACTGGCTCAACAGTTATGGTAGACGGGGCTTAGCTGCTCTGCGGCCTGTGAGATCTGCCTGGCTAGGGATCAAACCCGTATCTCTTGCATTGACAGGTGGATTCTTTACCACTGAGACTCCAGAGAGACCCCTGCACACTGGTTTTCATCTCCATGTATTATTTTACCAAGCCCAGGACCCATCACTATCCAAGGGCACCATCTATCCAAGGCCAGCCGCATGTCTCAGAGCAGAGCCCAAGGCTGTCCATGTAATAGGCATCCCTGAAGAGCCTGGTGGCTGAGAGGGACTCCATCACACTTACTGCTCCAAAGGTGTGTTCCTGGGGCTTCTCTGGGTGGTCCAGGGGCTAAGACTCCACACTGCCAAGGCAGGGACCCAGGTTCAATCCCGGGTCAGGGAACTAAGACCCCACATGCTGTCCCTAAGAGTTCACATGCCCCCAACTAAAGATCCCACATGCCCCAGTTAAGAGCTGGGGAAGCCAAATAAGTGAGGTTCGCACCTGACATTTACAAGCTAACTCGAAATGCCTTGAGGAAAGCCACTCCCAACACTTCCTTTCTGAATGCTTTTAGATTTACAGAAACATTTCAGGAGAAGAGCGTTCCACATTAGTACGTTTGCCATAACTGTATGCCATAATTAGTACAACTGCCATAATTGCCATTAGTCCATCTGACTAAGTTGCTAAGTCGTGTCCGACTCTTCGCGACCCCTGAGACTGCAGCACGCCAGGCTTCCCTGTCCTCCGCAATCTTCCAGAGTTTGCTCAAACTCGTGTCCACTGAGTCAGTGATGCCATCCAATCATCTCATCCTCTGTCGTCCCCTTCTCCTTACCTTAACTCTCGTCTTGGTACATTAATATTAACTGGAGTCCACACGGTATTCAGACTTTCTTCATTCTCACCTACTATTCTCTCTACATTCCAGGACACCTCATTTCATTTACCAGTCACAGGCTCCTCCCATCCCAGTGACAGCCTCTGAGACCATCCTTGTTTTCCAGGCCCTCCACAGTTTCCAGAAGGACCGTGCAGGCATTTGCATAATGTCTCAGCTGGGATCTGTCTGATGTTTCTGTCGTGGTGACCCAGGAGTTGTGGATTTGGGGGGCGGGGGGTTGCAGAACACAGAGGTGAAATGTCCTGCTTATCATCAAATACAAGGACCATGCTGTCAATACAATGATCTCTACAGATGAGCCAGCGGGGTTAGCTGCACCAGCTTCTCTGTGGTCACACGACCTCACCCCACCATTTCATCCCGGCCCCGGTGGAAGGAGCTCACCAAATGCAGCCCAAAGTATAAGACAAAAGGGCTCTGCTCCCCCAACACACCCCATCCCACCCACCAAGGGCAGAAGACCTACAGAGAGTCACAACTTTTCCGCACAGATCTCTTTCCCCCACTTCTAATGTACTTGACCACTTATGTCTATCAGTGTGGACTCGGGGATCGTTTATTATTATTCTTCTTAATGTTTATTTCAAAACCTGGTTTATTTTTGGCTGTGCAGCGTGTTCCTTGCTGCACGGGCTTACTCTGGTTGCGGCAGGCGTGGGTTACTCTCCAGTTATGATGCGTGGACTTCTCACTGTAGTGACTTCTCCTGTTGTCAAGCACAGGCTCCAGGGCTCCTGGGCTCCAGAGCTCAGTAGCTGCGGCACACAGGCTTAGTTGCTCCGTGGCATGTTGAGATCTTAGCTCCCGGACCAGGGATCGAACCTGTGTGCCCAGCACGGCAAGGCAGCTTCTTAACCACTGGACCAGCAAGGAAGCCCAGGGATATTTTACACACTACTTTATATGCCATTTTATTTCACAGCAGTTTTGGTCACAGGAAAGTCCAAGCTGGCTTCTGTATCCCTTATGGTCACAGGGTTTTCTGTGTCTGTGTGTGTCTGTCTGTTCCTGCAGACTTCATTTTGCATATTCCCGGCCCCAACCCGAGACTTGGCCATTCCTCCAAGGAGCCCTGGATCTTTTAATGGAGAAGCAGAGGGAGCACTTTACCGACAAAGGTTCAGACTGTCAAAGCTACAGTTTTTCCAGTAGTCACCTTCGGATGTGAGAGGTGGACCATAAAGAAGGCTGAGCACTGAAGAACAGATGCTTTTGAACTGTTGCATTGGAGAAGACTCTTGAGAGTCCCTTGAACAGCAAGATCAAACCATCCTTAAGGAAATCAACCCTGAATATTCACTGGAAGGACTGATGCTGAAGCTGAAGCTCCAATACTCTGGCCACCTGATGTGAAGAACTGACTCATTAGAAAAGACCCTGATGCTGGGAAAGATTGAGGGCAGGAGGAGAAGGGGACGACAGAGGATGAGATGGTTGGATGGCATCACGGACTCAATGGACATGAGTTTGAGTAAACTGCGGGAGTTGGTGATGGACAGGGAGGCCTGGCGTGGCAGTCCATAGGGTCTCAAAGAGTCAGACATGACTGAGAGACTATCACTTTCACTTTCATATTAGAAACCAGAATCTGGCAGCTGCTTCTGCAGTAGAAAATCCATTTTTAAGAGAGACCCTCAATGAATGATTTCTAAAGAGAATGTATTTTCATCATGTTAAGGTTTATCATTAGGTTTTCCTATATCCACGTTTCCTACAATGAGGCCAACTTAGCAAGCATATAAGATGCTCAGAGCTTACGCGTGGCTAATGCCATTAAGACTCAAAGTTGTAAATACCTGTAGTAAGTGGAACACACATCTGCTTTTACCAGATAAGACATTTGTGCCCTTGAAAAAGTCCACAAGTAAGAAGGGAACAGAACATGGTAAGCACCCTGGCACACATACATCCCAAAGGAACTGTTCCTCTTAGCCTCTCAGACAAGCTTGGTGAAGCTTCAACCTGTACCCAAGTCACTTCACATGAACAGAGACCTTACAGTACTTGAATCTCAGAAAGGAGGCTCTGCTCTCAGCATCTTTTGCTGTCTTATTACACATCTTTGCTGTGAACGGGCCACAGCCACGTTAACCAAGCCAGAGACCAGTGAGATGAAAAT